TGGGGGGAGGAGGTGTCTAGTTTAGATCATATGGTAGCAAAAAGCCTCTTTGAAACTGAGATCTTCATGACAGGAAGTAGCCTCAATCATAAGAAGAATGGAGGAAGAGCATTCCAGGCAGAAGGAAAAGCATGTACAAAGGCTATGAGGTGGAAGGAAATCAACTTGGTGTGTTCAAGGAGTAGGAAGAAAGTCCAGAAAAGATGGAGCAGAGTTCATGAAGAGAAGAGTGGTAGGAGGCAAGCTGAGAGAGCTTGGCCAGAGATGAGCCAGGCACGGCCTTGCAGGCCTGGTAATGGGTCCCTATTTTATTCCTAGCCCAAGTGGAGGATTTTCAGAGGGGAAATGATGCAGTCTCATTTAGAATTGTACAAGTTAGTTCTAACTTCTGTTTAGAAAGTAGATGGAGGAATAGAAGGAGAGGACACAGTGAGATGATTTAGGAACTTAAAGTCACCCCAGTAAATTAAGTCAGTTCACATGAAGGTTGAAGGGTTGAAATGGGGAGAGCTTTAAAAGCAATGGGTTACCATCCTGTGTATTTTAAGTTCTATATTCATTGAGACATAAAAGATGATCTCTGCTGTTAAAGGCACTTTAGAATTTATATGTTGTTGTTGTTCTGTTCTGACTCATCGTGACCCTATAGGACAGAGTAGAACTGCCCCTATAGGGTTTCCTAGGCTGTAATTTTTACAGGAGGAAATCAACAGGTATTTCTCCCATGGAGCTCCTAGTGGGTTCGAACCACCAACCTTCCAGTTAGCAGCCGAGCACTTAATCATTGCACCACCAGAGCTCCTTATAATTTGTCTAGAAGATTTTATTTGGAAAGGGAAACATGGAATCAACGAACATATTAAATGGTTGTTGTTGTTAGTTGCCATGGAATCAGCTCTGACTCATGGAGACCTTATGTATAACAGAACAAAATGTTGCCCAGTCCTGCACCATCTTCATGATTGGTGTGTTTGAGTCCATGGTTGAGGCTGTTGTGTCAGCCCCACACCCGTCTCATTGAGGGTGTCCCTCATTTTCGCTGACCTTCTACTTTACCAATCATGATATCCTTTTCTAGCAATTGGTCTTTCCTGATGACATGTCCAAAGTAGGCAAGCCAAAGTCTCACCATCTTTGCTCCTGGGAGCATTCTGGTTGTATTAAATGGTAGGCAATTGCTATAGTGGATAGCAAGATATTAGAAAAATGGATCTATAGGTCAATAAATTTCATCCCAAAGAGAGTGGGGATCAGGAGCAGAAGTGGCAACCCTGAAACTACCCCATCGAAAAAACAAAACAAATCCCTTGCTGTCTGCTCAAATTCTGACTCTTAGAGACCCTATAGGACAGAGTAGAACTGATCCATAGAGTTTCCAAGGCTGTAAATCATTATAGAAGCAGTCTGCTGCATCTTTCTCCCATGGAGTGGGTGGTGAGTCCAACCTCAGACCTTTTGGTTAGCGAGTGAGTACTCAATCACTGTGCCACCAGGGCTCCACAGGATCCTGAAAAGCACTAGACTTGGAATCAAAAGCCCTGAGTTGGAACCCTGACTTTATCTCTTTAACTAATGGGTTTACCCTCTTGATTTCCTCATCTAATAAACAAAACGATTCTACCAGGTGAATGGTAAGATCTTGTCTAGATGTAAAAATAACCGATTCATAGCCATTTTCGTTATAATGATATCATTTCTGATACTCAGGTATCTTCAGAGTAACTTTATATGTGTTATTTTAATGAAGTTTGTTGTTGTTGTTAGGTACCATCCAGTCGGTTCCAATTCATACTGACCCTATGTACAACAGAATGAAGTAATTTTTCAGTTAATAAGGTACTAGAACTGAAAATTACTTCAAAATTTTGTACTTCTAACTTCTCATTTTATAGATGAGAAAACAGAAACCTAGAAGGGGAAAGAGAACAGTTTTGGGTGATTTATCCAATTAGTGTGAGATGCATGGCTGCAACCTAGGTCACATGACTCCCGATTAAACGTTCTCTCCATTAATCCTACCTGACTTCATGTAAGTTCAGGGAAGTTCTTCCCAGGTGATAATTACAATATTTATTATATTTATTCTCTATTTGTTCTATAAATTGGGTAGTTTGGGAAACTAACCAACTTCTACCACTCCTTACAAAATAGTAAAATTTCTCATAAGGTAATGTATAAAGTGTATAGGTAGTCCCTGATCTGAGGTACAGTGAACCGCTTATGACAATCTGTTTTGTTTTTTGTACATCTTATTGTTGGTAATATACACTACATACAATGTTACAGCTCATAATTTGCTGATGTTATCATTCTCAGACATTCACTTGCAAATGTTTATATGTAATGTTTCCAACCTCCAAAGACAAATAAAGATTGGATTTATAAAGATACTAATAATAAAAGGCAGTAATAATGAAAACTAAAAAACGAAGAGGTATTGCACTTACATCAGAACCAACTTACAACACAGTCACCCGAATGGAACCCTGTCGTAAGTCGGGGACCACCTGTATTTCTCAGGACTATAGTGAGTAGGGTGATTGCTTCAACTGCGTTTACAACATGTGGACCTTTCAATAGCGTTTTCCATTTAGGAGAGCTTGTTTATTTTGCTGTAGTGCATGTAATGGAGCAGAATAGGAGAGAGAAATTCATTCTATTTGTTACATTGATTCAAATATAATGTGAAAAGATGAAAGCATATCTTTTATGGAGTAATTTTTATGAAAATGGAAATTAAACAACTTCTAAAGGGAAGTTAGCAGCTAGCCAAACCCAGTGAAGATCTGTTATTTAAAAATCGATATTTCTTCTTCCTTAAAATTCTGACTTTTGGCCAGATACATTATCAGCATCCTCTTTGATTCACAATAATCTCCAAATAAGGCCGGAGAGATGCATAAATCTTTTTGCCACTGCTAACAATCTCTGCGAGATCTTTTGATGACAGAAATGAGTAAAGACAGAGCTGCACATTCATAAATGAATAAAGAAAACCTTCAAAATACATTCTCTTCCAAGTAATCATAAGCACAAGCCAGCATTGAAGATAGGCTTTCAAACAGTAGAAACAAGGGTGGAGCTAACAAGCTTAAAACAATAATAAATGAACCTAATTGAGGAGTAGTTTGGGCCATAATGAAACAGCATTTCAGCAACCTCTTAGTGCCAAGACAGGATCCCTGTCTCCTGCCTCCAAGCTTTCCTACCTTTCCACTTGCAGCTCTTTGGAGTATCTCATAGAGCTTAGTCAAGAGAGAGCCTTGGGAACCTATAGTCAGAATTTCAGTTAGTTTTTTTAATAAGGAAAAGAGACGGGAAAATTAGAAAAGATGGCTTGGAAGTGGGAGAGACACCTAGGGCAGAAAACCAAACCACAACAAAGCAACAACAGAAAGATCCTCATAACAAATCCTTATTTAAAAATATATTGTTCATTTCAAGTTGGTCAGGTTGAGTTAAATAGAATTATTGTTTCTGTTTGACATACAGGGAAAGAAAATAGGTATATGGAGTGATTACAAAATTTCTCTCTTGCAATTCTTGATGATCCTGCTAACGGCATTTGTAATCCCTGTACTTTTCAAACTTTCTGTGTTTGCAGCTCACTTTCAAATATTAGAGTTGTTTTGGTGCACATTAAAAATACAAATACAAACACCTGCCTCAGACATAGATGTCTGGATTATACAAGTCCACCATAATTGTTACAAGTGCTACTATAGTACAACATTGCCTTGCACTTCTATAAAAATGTCCATGGTTATAAAACTAGAGTTTGTTGTCCTTCCATACCACCCTCTCTAAAAGGAAGTGTTTCCTGCCCTCATTTTACTCTTTTCTGTCCTTGTGAGGTAAGCATCTTGTCTGTTCCAGCAAACACGACATTCTTCTATGGCACGAATTTACTTTTCTCCTGCCTTTCACCCAGTACCTGCAGTACGTTTTCGTTCCTCTACTCTCTCACGCAACCTGACAGTAGGTTCAGTATTCCACCTGACAATCATTGTCATTAAAGTACTTGACAGTTGTGGCAAAAATAAAATTTTCAACTTCATTAAAATTTGGTGACAACTGCCAGGGATTTCTTTCTGTCACGGCATTCTGGTTGAGCATGCTCTGAAACCGTTCATGTGCCTCAGTCTCCATCTTAAGGGCAAAAGCTTAGGTGTGTCTTAAAGAGGAATAATTGCTTCTCTTACCAATCTCCTACTCTTATGATCTTGCCTATTCTACCTCACGTCAAACTCAGAAATCAAGATGATTTTTGGCAACCATATCTGAAAATCTTTGTCTCATTTAGTGGGTGTGTCCACTGTCATTTGTGAGAAAAGATCAACCTATGTTTGTAGCGGGTGTTTGGAGGATACATTACATGTGCTTACATGATATTTACGTGCTACATCATTTAATGCCATTAAATTAATACTAGGGAACAGTATCTTTTTTCCTACTATTCTGCAATACCCAGTACCTCTAGACTATAAAGAATGAGTAAAGATGTTTGTACGTGTATGTGTGTGTACATGTGTATGTTAACTCTAGAAAGTTTAGCATGTTTGTTATTGAATTGATAATTATTTCACTTAGTGAAATGTTGTCAGCTCATGCCATGCTTCACTTTTGCTTGAAAGTGAGTCAGAAAAGTTGATCATTGCATTAAGGACTTATACTAGATTGTTACAGAAGGAAATGGTGGGAACGAGCGTATGGGTTAATCTAAATAATATTCATGTACATTTTCCTATGCATGTGGCAAGTCTTGTTTAAATTCATAATACTATTTGCATCTTTGCTAATCCTAATCATCTTGCATGATATCCCATGTAGCCCCAAAAAGTTCAATATAAAATCCTAATATGCCACTCCACTCACATCCGTTCTGTGATTGCTAGAGCCTTTCTCTGCCTTCCTTGTGCTCCTTCACTTAGAGTAAGAATTCATTCTCTGGAATGTGCATCCCACTGGTAACTTAAGTCTCCTCTTTTTTTGTTTTCAAGGATGGGAGGAACAGTTTTATTGGACATCAACTGGGCGGGGTAGTGGAAGTGCCCAACAGCAAGGACCAGCGGGTCAAGTCAGCCAGAGCCATTCAAATCACCTACTACCTCCAGACCTATGGCTCTGCCACCCAAGACCTCATAGGGGAGAAGTGGGAGAATGAGTTCTGTAAACTTATGAGGAAGCTCCAGGAGGAGCACCAGGACCTCCAGCTCTACTCTTTAGCATCCTTTAGCCTCTGGAGAGACTTTCATAAGACCAGCATCCTGGCCAGGAGCAAGGTCCTGGTAAGCCTTGTGCTGATCCTGACCACAGCCACCCTCTCCAGCTCCATGAAGGACTGTTTGCGAAGCAAGCCCTTCCTGGGCCTCCTGGGGGTGCTCACAGTGTGCATCTCCATCATCACGGCAGCAGGGATCTTCTTCATCACTGATGGAAAGTACAACTCCACCCTGCTGGGAATCCCGTTCTTCGCCATGGGTAACTATCCATCCTTGTGGTAATCGGATTCTTACCGGTTTGGGGCAAGGTAGTACATTTCTTGAATTCTCAGGTGAAAGTCTGTTTTAATTTTGCATTGGTGTGTCTATGTGATTATGTAAAATTTTACTTGGGGTGGCGTCTGCATCACCTTATTGGGCCTTTCAGCAAATTATGGGTTGACCAAGCTATCTTTCCATTTATGTTGGGGCTTTTAATGCTGTAAAATGTTTTTAAGTTATATAACGTTGGAATTGTCTTCTCAGCTTTTAAAAAAATTATTGATTGGGGTTATGGGTAGATTTAAGACCTACTTCAAACAAAATTTCGTGATTCATATTCATAGGAATCCTTAAGTTGATGGTGGTGAAGAGTGAATATCTTGGGATGAAAAGTCTGAGACCCATTGACATATCCTAATTACCAAGAACTTCTTCAGAGAACTTTGTTTATTAATCTAAAGTTTTTGCAGTAAATATACTCAATTCTTCCATCCCTGTATAAACTAGGGTTTCTCCCAACCACACATAATTATCCTAGAAAATGGTGTGTTGTGGGGGAGTGCGGGTTGTGGTCTTGCAAAAGAGAAGATCAGGTCTATGAAGAAACAAATGACTGCTGGCTCATCAGCAAGACTGATGGGCCTTACCAGAAAGGAGATGATACTGGTGGTATCTACGGTAGCGGAGAAGGGTTCTGTCAAGTATGATATCATTTCCTGTATGTAGAAATTTGGAGAATGAGGTATAAAAATGGCCTCTAGGTGGTGAACTGGCATGAACAGGAGAGTCCTCAGCTGAAAAATAATTATTTTCATCTCCTCAGGTTAAAATCATCTATAAATTACACTTTTATTATTAAATAAAAGAGATGCAGACATACAAAGTCTAGATCATCAGCATGCCTTCCTTTTTTTTTCATCTTAATAAACATTTTTTGAAATGATGCTGCAGAATGAATTTATATTGTGAGTTCTGGAATCCTTTATTTGAAAACCCGACTTCACTGTGGCACTAGTAAATTAGATCATCCCCTTAAGCCCCAGTTTTCTATAAAATAAGAATAAAAATGATACCATCCTCATAGATTTGTTTATTGAATGTAACAGAATATAGTTAGAGCTTCTAGCACATGGAAAATGCTCAGTAAATATCAGCAAGTTTTAGTAGTTAACTTGACATGTTAAACAAAATGGATTCCATGATGAAATAATCCTTGGCTTCAAGAAATTGAAAGTCTTCCTGGATTTTACATATTATCACTAAATGCACCTTTGTCTTGTCATTAAAAAGTGTTTTTCTTTTTCCCAAAGAACAATATGAAAAACCTTTGTCAGCAGTGACAATGGTGACCTGTATTTGAACCATTTATACTTCTTGTGTTTTTGGCCTCAGTCTCATGACTTGAATTAATGTAACTGTAAGAACCATACAGCACAATTCACAAATGGGACATGGTTGATTCTAGGCTGACCAATTAAGCACCTTAGTACCTACTTAGGCTTTTTCTAAAACTGATGGAAGCTAATTAGGTTATGGAAATATTTATCAGGAAAAGATAGAATTATATATTCCATATAAATAAGATGAAAAGCTGTCTCTGCAGATGCTGGGTTGGAGCATAAGCTCTACAAAAGCATAGCAGTGTTTTCACTCCCTAAACAACAAAAACACTGAAAACCACAGGGACGGAAAAGTCTAGACCCTGCAGCACGCACTTTTCTGCACTCCCGGTGATCTGGAAAATCATAAATCAGCCGTGACATTGTAGGTGCAGACCCTAGGAAGCGTGGTGAATGATTACTTCTCACTATTCCTGTGATGTTAAGTCTTTAACCTGCAAAGAACATTTCTACTATGTTCGGAAAACAAAGCAACAAAAGACCTGTAAATATATATTTACTTAGGCTTTTTGCTCCATTAAGGAAGGATTTCTCTTCTTTCCTCGCTCGTTTCCTCCCTCCCTCCCTTTCTTCCTTATTTCCTTCCTTCTTCTGATCAAATAATTGTTGTAGTAAAAATACCAAAATCAAGAAGTCGTGAAATAAAGGGAACATTCCACAGGGTTAGGAAACTGGAGTTTCATCCCAGTTTCTCCACTAACTTTATGTGTTACATTGGGCAGGTTATGTATAGTCCCTTTGCCCCAGTTCTTCATATATAAAATGAAGAGTTTGAACTCTTCAGTCTTAAATTTTCTAGATCCTATGATATTATTAATTTCATTCTTCTATTGAAGTTAGAATTTGATCATTCCATTATACATCTAATCTCTAGTCTCTGTTACATCTAGTATTAAAAAATAGAGGTAGAGATAGAGAGCCAGCAAGCGAGAGAGGAGAGAGATTTTTGAATTAAAAACTGACAGCCTTGCAAAGGTGGTGGGGTTGAATGTGATGTTGAGCATAAATAAATTGAGGTGGGCAGATGTATATCTGCTGGTAGTGGACACACACTGATCAAAACCAATCCCTTGTATTACAATTTACATGATGTCAACATAGCATAATTCAAAATTAGTTCGTGTAAGTAAAAGAAGCCCAACTCTTTCTGTATACTCTTTTTTCTATCCCTATATTCCTTACAGGATTTATTTGAGGCAGTGAACTCCATTATGCTCCAATATTCAAACCTTTCATTCTCATCAGAGCTTATCCCTGTCACTTGTGGTAATCTGCTCTTCAGACTAAACTAGCTCAACTGTCTTATTAGACCACCTATCTTCACTATGATTCGGAATTGACTTGACAGCAGTGGCTTTGGTTCTGGGTTTTAGATCTTTCTTCTGTAGAGCATCTGCTGGTTATTTTTTTCTAATTACTCATCCATTTACTATTCCCAATATTCAGCTATTCAGAGGCATATCTTCTGTACTTACATTTCCTGCATTTTTCAAGCCACTACCAATTTTTATACTTTGTCCTAGAGTCAAATGTAAATTTATATTTATCAAATTGTAGCTTCCAGATTTGAGTTTATAAAAGAAGACGATTGCAGACGTATGTAGTCTCTCTACAAAAGAATTCAAAGAGACAAATCCAGAATTAGATTAAAAAAAAAAAAAAAGCCAACTAAAAATGACCGCATTTAGCTCCAGCCTAACATTCTTAGCCTATCCAAGCAAAAACCAGTGAGAATGCCATTAATTTAATTTATACCTCATTGTCAGCCTTTTTTCACCTCATTTGCTTTATATGGATGTGTTTCCTCTTTCTCGACCAAGAAATACGGCTAATATAGCATGCAGACACCAAGCTGGCTTATGCTATATCTTGCTGATCTTCCATGGAGAGTTGCCAGGGACGTTAGCTACCTTGATTCACTGTTGTTTTTTCTGTCCATCTTCATTTGTTTTATATACTAAGAGTCTTAGTGGCTTGATGCCACTGGATGACTTGTTGGTTGCAGGTGATTCCAGGGTCTCCAGATATCAAACATTCACTTTCATCCCAAACGGAACATCATGTTTATTTATTTATTTGTTTGTTCAGATATATATAGAGCATTTCTTCTTATGTTTTTTGGGTACTGGAATAAAAGGCATTGAATTAACTGGTTAAGTTGTTTCCCTCATGGATCTTACATTCTGTGTCTACAGAGGAGAGGATTCAGACAGTGAACAAATAAACAAATATAAACTATGTCATTGTTGTTAAGTGACATAAAGAATAAAAATAAAGCAGTAAAGGGAAATAGAGAGCATAGGTGGTCATAGAAAAGTCTCTCTAAAAAACTGAAAGTGGAGAAGAAAGCTTGAAGTGAAACAAGGAGACATGTGGTGATCTGGGAATAGAATGTCTGTGGCCGAGAGAACTATATCTGTAAAGGCTCTGACGTGGTACAGCTGTAGAAGAATAAAAATGGAGTGTGGCTGGAGCAGAGAGGGCAACTGTCTGGGTGTTAAAAAGAGGTCAAGGAGGGAGTGTGGGGCCAGACCTTGTAGGACATTGCGGAACTTAATACTTCAAATTTTATTCTGAGTGGGATGGAAAGCTATCTAAAGAATTTTGAGACAGGAAGTTACGATCTGACTTATGTTTCAATGATATCTTTGGCTACGTTATGGAAATTAGTCTACAACTGGACAAGGATGGTTATAGAGAGACTATTTAGGAGGTAGCTGCAAACTCTGTATGAGATATAATGGTTGCTGGGAACAGCATGGTAGTGGTGGCAGTGATAAAAAGGGATTAGACTCAGGACATATATTTGAAAATAGAATTGACAAGATTTGCTGAAGGACTGGATATGGTATGTAAAAGGAAGAGGAGTCAAGGATGACCACAAGGTTTGAGGACTGAATATCTAATAGAATGCAGTTGCCAGTTACTAGCATAGGGAAGTCATGGGAGGAATAAGCTGTGGGGAAAAAAATTAAGAGTTTTTATCTGCTAAGTTAGAGATATGTATTAGGCATCCAAGTGGAGAAATGTGGAGTTGGCTATATAAGACAGTATGTATTCTAAGTTATAAGGTAAAATCTGTAAGTCAGGGCTGAAGATATAAATTTGGGAGTCATCATGGCATAGCCAATATTGAAAGCCATGGAATCTGATGAGATCAACTAGACAGATAAATATAGATGAAAATAGAAGAAGTCTGGCATCTGAGTCCTGTGGCATTCTAATGCTTTAGAGGTTAGAAATAGGAAGAAGATTCAGAAAATGACGCTAAGAAGGATCAGGCAGTGGGATAGCAGGAGAACCTCGAAGAATAGTTTCCCTGCAGCCAAGTAAAGAGAGTTTCATGAAGGAGCAAGAAATCAATTGTGCTAAAAGCTACTGAGAAATTTTGTCCAGTGAGAACTGATAATTTGCCGTTTGATTTGGCAACATGAAGACCATTGGTGTCCTTGAGAAGAGATGCTGTGGGGGAGAGCTGAGAAGGAAAGAGTAATTTAAGGAGGTTCAATAGAGCTTGGAGGAGAAGAAATGAAGACAGTGAGTAAAAACAACTCACCCAAGGAGTTTTGTATTGTTGTTGTGTGTGCCATCCAGTCAT